GATGGCCTCCAACCTAATAGCGGTGGCCTCCAACCTGATAACGATGGCCTCCACCCTAATAGCGATGGCCTCCAACCTAATAGCGATGGCCTCCAACCTAATAGCGGTGGCCTCCAACCTAACAGCGATGGCCTTAAGCCTAACAGCGATGGCCTCCACCCGAATAGCGATGGCCTCCAACCTAATAGCGATGGCCTCCAACCTAATAGCGATGGCTTCCAACCTAATAGCTTTATGATGCGCGCGCTTTGCCCCAACATTCTTCGCTCATGACCCACCACCCAACCTGTGGCGCCATTCCGCTGAGCCCCGATTCACTGACACTTCACCTGGCTTGACACCGGCGCAGCACCTTAGCTCCTTAGCTTGTTCAGGTTGTTAAGATCTCTTTAAAGGCGTACGGTATTCGAGCCATATCTCTTCCCTGCTATAAAATCTGCAAACAAAAAGCAGGGTAGTTTTGTTGTTGCTGTGACCCTTCCCGCCACCCCTTCCAATCAACTGCGGTTGGTCTCGGATGGTGACCACGACAAAACACCAACTTGCTGCCCACTGGTGAAAGTCGTGTTGCGCATGGAGCCCAGGACTCTGGGTTCATTGTTGGGATGTTATGGTCCGTGTTGTTTTTCAATGCGATGGAATCTATTTTGACCGTTCATGGCCTCCAACCAAATAGCGATGGCCTCCAACCTACTGGCGATTTCATGCCATGGAATCTATTGTAATGCTTTGGGTGGTTTTTGAATGCGTTGGAAATGCAGTTCGAACCTGGATGAACCTGGTGCGTTCATGGCATCTGCAGGCTGAGCGGGAATTTACAATCAGCAACAGGTTTGCAGCGTCGCATTCATACAACAACGCCGAAAACGACCCATTGGAGTGTTGACACGTGCACGCGGCACTCACAAGGCATCCATGCCGTGCGCAAATACCCTCACAACACTTCTCTAAGGGCCTAGGCGCTATCCGCTCGCCAACACCACACATGCAACTTGCAAAGTATGGCACTGTGGTCACCATGCATGGGCAACTACATGTGAATGATCTTGTACTGCAATGTGCACAGTGAGAGAGAAGAAAAGGGGTGTCAAGGCGAGATACTTGTCTTCAGCGTAGACTCCCCAGTCCTCATCCTCCAAACCAGTGTCTTGGAAGATGCACCCCTCCAAAGCGCTAGATTGTTGCTGTTCAACTGCCTCCACCAAGTCAAGACTCTGAAAATTCTGCGCCACCGCACTGATGTCAGGCAAGTTGTCCCAGCTTGGCTTCAAAGTCCAACCAGCAAGCCTGCGTGCTCCTGGTGCAAAATCCACTGCATCAGGAGAAATAAATTCATGGCTCATTCCATCCAAGGCTTTGGAAACCATGACTTTGATGTTTCGAATGGGTTGAAGCATGGCATCAAGCTGCTCCACGCAGCCGAACTGGTTCAGCAGTTTGCTGGACTTTTGCAAAAGCTGAGCGACTGTGATTCTTGAACAAAATTTCAACGGG